CATCACTCACAATTCCTTTTGTTAAAAAAAAAAAAAAAAAAAAAACAGAGCAATCCATGCCCTGACTGGAATTTCGTATCAAAACAGCCTCTCTCAATATGAATTTCTGGGACTACCATCGTTATGTGGAATTGTTGTGTCCAAGATAAGAACACGAACAGGAAATTGATTGGCCAATTGGGTTAAAATTTGATTACCTGGTGGAAAGACCGGGACAGAAAGTAATGATGTAATCGGCTCCGGCACAGGTGAAGGTGCTGGTACCGTCGTCATATGCATAGCTATAAGCTTTAGGGCAGGCGTTCTTGAAGAATTCTGAGTAAGTACTGGGCTTGCAGGTGTCCGGCGACGCGTACGCTCCGCTGCAGCAGTACTGGGCGTCTCCGAACGCATCGCAAGCACTCTTGCATGCCACCCCTTCATTACTTCCGTCAGTAATCTTAAGTTCCACCGGACAATCCTCGTTCAAATCAGCGGAGCATGCGGCGGAAGAGCAGTTCCCTCCAGTCCCACCCTGTGGGGTCACCATCATTGGCAGATTATAACCATCCACAAGACTAACGTCATAAAAATCAAGCCCCCCTGCACCGTCTAATGTGAACTCGGCCAGAGTGGCAGGAGGGGCGGCGCCTCCACCAGAGCATGCTATGGTGGAAGAGCCGCAATCTCCAGTGAGACAAGAGAATTTACCGGAGGAATCTTGGGTGCAGACAGTGCGTCCCCATAAACGGCCTGACCAGGATGTTGGGACAGAGAGGGATGTAGATTCCCCTGACTGGAGAAGAAAACCTGTGGTGGACAGTTCTGGTGTTCCGGCGCCAGAGAGAATCCCCGGCCAAACTGGATAGCTGCACTTGTTCCTGATTGTAAACGTTGATGAATAAACACCTGTACAACGTGAAACAATTTAAATCAGTATTCAATTCTCTGTAATAACTAAGTGATCTGAACACATGATACAAAAAGAATTTATGTAGTCTACCTGGAAAAAATTGAAGAAAGAATGTAGCTAAAACCATGGGGAGTTGAAGAGAAGCCATGTTGGATAGGAAAAAGAAGAGAAAATTAGAAGATTTGGTAGTTATGTGAAGAAGAGGAATGGAGGAAGGATGGGTATATATAGACCTTTGGCAAACAGGCAGGTTGGTTCGGTTCGGTTGGATCAACTTGAGTGACTGATTATATAGGTTAGATCATAAACGGGTTACGGGTTGAAAAAGTTCAAAATTAACTCGACTTTAATGGGTTATGAGTTAACCCATGGCTTGACCTTATTTTTTATAATTATTTTTATTAATTTTATTATATATATATAAAATTATATATATTTAAATTTAATTAAAGTATTGTAACTTATTAACACTAAATAATTTATAATCTCCATTACAAATATTTAAAATAAGAAAAAATCATAAAATTATAAATAATAGTAAGTTGATTAACAATATTAAACTTTAAATATTTAAATTTCTTGAAAAATAAAATTTTAATTTTACAATCATCTTGAAACATTATCAAAGGAGTTTAAACCCTTTTTTAAATGATGAAATTGCTCTTCCAAGAACAACTTTATCTAAATTATTATGTTTATATCCTAGCATTGCATCTTTAATATTTTTAGTTGTATTATCATTTAATTTATAATACTTGGTAATTGAATCAAACCCACATAATTTTTAGAGAAAAAAGAAGAAATAATGATGAATAAACACTCAAAATAACTTCAAAACCGTTTGAGTAATGGAAATAAGGTTGAAGAGTATGAATTAATGGAGAGAATTATTAATAGGAAAATTAATTAAAAATAATAAATATAGTCTTTTTAAAATAATAAATAATAAATAAAATAAACAGATCAACCCTTCAACTCACGTGTTAACCTTAACCCGACTCATGATCCATACGAGTTAATATTACGGGTTGTCTATAAGTTGCGAGTTGGAATATATAAATCGTAACCTATTTTTACCGGTCGGGTTAGGATCGAGTTAGACGGATTAGGTAGATTTTTACCACCTTTAAGTATATATAGGGAAGAAGCATGTGATCCAGTCAGGGAAGTGGAAATACGACGGAAGTGGGGACCGAAATTTAGAAGGAGCACTGATTGTCCATGTTGCCAAAGTGCACATGCATTGTTTAGAAGGAGCGCACCTCCCCGGACTGAAAGTCGGCATTGTGTTCAGTGATTGCTTAGGAAAAAGGAAATAGAATAACACCCGTGGAGTCTCCTTATTTGTAGATTGAATTGTAAAAACCAACCTAAATAGGAAGAAACGATCACATCTAGTATTTTAAGTTGCATAATTTGAATATATATGAAATGATTATTTTTATTTAATAATTTAAGTTATACAATTAGTTTAGTGTAATTTAAATTATACCATAAATTTTTTTAATACTTATTAGTGTGCCAAAAAACATATTAAACAAGAACAACATTCCCAACTCCTCAATTAAGTAAATTTATGCAAGTGAGCTCCCCTACTAACTCTTGCAACAATTGAACTCCCTCAAGTAAGCGCATGTCCCTAAACTCAACGCCCTAACTAGTTTGAAGAGCTAGATAAAAAAACACCAAAAGTAGACTAACACCCATATAAGAAATGCTTTTTACGAGTGTAAGTAGAAAACATGTTTTATCTTCCTATTTAACATTCATTTTAACATCTATAAATCAAACTAGAGCCACCAAGTAGTTAGGAAAGAGACGAGACACCCCGACGTGCAAAGTCACATGCCATGTTCTTATTAACTTTGGCCTTTTAGTGTCAAAATTATGCATAATACTCGTAGAAGCTATGAGTTTGTTTTAAGAGCTCAATTCAGTAGTGATAGTATCAAAATTGAGTTAGTTAAGGGCCAATATTAGGATTTTCCAATGAGTTTCTTTACTTCTATCTCTATTAAAATGTAAAAATTATACATGTATATTTTAATTTAATACAAAATTTACATTTAACTTAAATTAATTTATTATAAATAAAATAATCCTCTTCATATTTAATCTATATTTCATTATTATACTCTCATAAAATTTTCCTACTCAACATAGAGATCCTTTTTTAAAAGAAACCCATTAGAAAGGGTTCTTCTATTAGAGGCGGGCTCTCCTGCCAAGACGGTGTCTTTCTTTAGTTGGCAAAAATAAATATGGTCAAGAATGCAGAGAGAAAAGTTAAATGGAGCATTGGGACTCTGCTGCGAGGTTCATCGGAAAGGGTGGCTCGAAATTTATGGCGTGGGAACCTGAAAAGGACGGTATCTGTATGCATTTTGCGTTAGACAGTATAACACTATAACTGGTTAAATTAATTAGGGTTGGTCAAAGCAGCCAAATCGATGCCGTCGACAACTTCTTCTTCTTCCTTTTCTTATTATTTTTGTCTTTTTTAATTATTTATTTTTAATGTTCATGTCGGTGTTTTTGTCCGCTTACACAAGTTTTCAGATTAAATTTTTCCCAAATGATTTTAAGAATATGATCTTATATCAATATGATTGATAAAAAAAAAAAGGAGTTTTTTTTAAAAAAATTTTTTAATATAAATTAATTATAAAAAGGTCATTGAATAAATCACACAAGTTAAAAAAAAAAATTGATACGAAGTGCTTCAATTTTCAAAAAGATCTTCAAATATTAAAATTATGATCAGAAATGTGAGTTTAGAGCAATAGATGTGGATGGGTTAGTTTACTTATAACCAGAGTTAGGTAGTAGTACGGTATACAAACTGATTATTATCCTAACAGTTCCAAAGGCTTGATATAAGTTCAATTGAGATTTAGTTTTCAATGCTGTGACAAAATGGAAAAATTGTTACTCATCACAATTTACACAGAATCGTGAAGATTGTCTCTTCAATAGAAAATCAACAGTTCAGTTCATTCCTTAAAAAAATGAGGTGATGTTAAAAAGCTTCAACTTAAAATTTCTTGGTCCATAATATTAAAAAGCACATTTTGTGATTTGGGTGGCTGATGCTTAAAGGAGTTTTGTGTCAAATGTCATCTCAAAACAAGATCGGGGGGATTGCATGGTGACAGAAGAATTGAGAAGGCACTGCACTTTCAGAATGAAACGGCACCACCATGTGCATGTGGCTTGTTTCTACAAGGAAAAGGAGAACCATATGCAGAAGTTGCAAACATAAAGCCGAACAGACTTGTATCTTATCACGTTTCAGTCCAATCTGACTCCACTGTCATGGCCCCAAGCTCTGGTTCGTGACCCCATCATTAATTCATTCTTCATGACCATACACCCTCAGAATTTTTGCATTTCAGAACAACACAAACCTCATCTTCAGATTCGGGGCAGAATATATCTTTTCAATTAGACCTTGCCACCTTGGTGGTGTACCACAGATCACAATTGGCCCCCTTTTTTTTTTTTTTATTCCTTTTCTTTTTTTCAAATAACCACAATTGGGTTATCTGAAATCTTTACAGATTCTAGCTATCTTGGAAAAGAACACTTATGGTGGTGACAAATTCACTAGTGGAATCATGGCATAGTCTGGTCAAAGTCTCTTTTCAATCTGTTCTATTTCAATCAAAATTGTCACCAACTTCTCAATAATGCAAACTACAGGCATTCAGAGCAATGTAATCAAGTTTTGTATCCAACTTTTATTTCTCCAGAGAAAATGGTAAAATTAAACAGCATGGAACTCAGTTTCTTGGGTATGATAAAATAAAACTGCATGAACATATAGAAACTGTAACTTTGGGCGCAACTGACTCATGATGATTGCTTTGCAAATCTACAACGAGCATTTACTGATTTAATGGAATCTCCTTGAACCAGTAGATTGATAGAGTTCCAATCTGCTTTTGGCCTCTTGAAGCAATGCCTCCACTTTCTTATTCTGGGTTAAGAAAAATTGCTTGGATGCCCATTCAAGCTTGGCGAGCACCTCAGCCTGTGCAAGCTCCTCACTATCTGGGACATTGAGTGCAATGTAACATAGGAGAATTAGTGCTGAGTGTTGAACCATTTTTTCTCCGCGATACATCAGCTGGATCAAGTGCTTTGCACCTCCAGCGCTTATGATTGCCTTGGAGTGATCCAGGTGTAGATAGTTCTGCATGCAAGCAAACTTTGAAAGAGCAATGGAAGCCTCATTCGAAACCTTAGCTTCCCTGTCGTCCAGGAGCTTAACCAATGGAGCAATAATCGTTGTTTCCGTTGCTCTAAATGTCCTTGCCAAATTACCAATAGCCTTGATGCAGGGTATCAGGAGGTCTGAATCGGCTTTTTGAATGACCCTTAATAACTGATCAACAACAGCTTTACAAGAAGGGGAATTGGGCTTGAATGCAGATCTTCTCAAATCAGCATCTTGCTCTGCCACTGCAGTGATCTCCATCAAAGCCATGGCTGAATTATACTGAGTATCTTCATCTCCTTTCTCTAACAGAAGCGCAAAGCACAAGAGTGCTCTAGACTCAGTGATGCTATGGCAAATTGCAGAATTTCCCTTAGCAAGATGCCACAGAGCTCTTGCTGCCATTGCCTTCATGTGAGCTTTTGTAGCAGGATCTTCCTGCTCCCTCCACTTAAAGTTACTTCCGGAATGAGAGACGTGCTGTTGATAATGGGGTTGATGAATTTGCTTCAAAAAGCCATCGCTATTGTTCCTGACAAGCTTAGTCTGAAGTGTACCACTACTTGGCTTTTGAAGCTGCTTCGAGAGTCCATTCATTGCCATAGCCGCAGCAACCACATTGTGCATATGATTCGGAGTTTGATTGCCAATGATGGGATGTGGAATCTGACTCTTGTTTAGCTTATCATCACCCTCGACCACAACGGCGTGGATTGATGCGGCCTTATTGGAAGCAATGGCGTACTTGATGTGTTCCTGAACAGTTCCGAAGGCTAGATGACTGACCAGCAACCGGATTATGTTATGCTGGGCGAATAAATCTTGACATTTTGGGTTATTTCTGGAGAGCTCAGACACTGCCCAGGCAACCTTGGCCTGGACCTTCATGGGACCTTCTTTGAGCACTTGCGCAAACACAGAGCAGACTCCAGCAAGAAGCAAGTGTTCAACGTTTTCCGCATCGCGTCCGAGATGTCCAATTGCCCTGGCGGCGTTCTCTTGACCCTCCGCTTTTCCTTCTTCTTTCAACAGCTTCAACAGCAGCCCGACTCCTCCTTCCTCGATGATCAACTTCCCATACCGATCATTGTCCCTGGCAAGCGAAACGAGGGAAGCAGCGGCATCACACCGATCGTCAAGCGACCCAGCAGAAAGAATCGCAATCTGTTCCCAAATGACGCATAAAATCGGCTCGTTCGCGGCAATCGGAGGAAGACCCAAGTACTCATAGTCCCGATTATCAGCAGAAGCAGAAACACGGAGCAGCCATGAAACATCCCCAATCGAACTCTCAAGCTGAGAAGACGTCTTCCGAAACCCCGCAGCCGGTATTATAGTAAACACGCGTTTCATTAGCCCATTGGCCCTGCATTTGAGGACCAAAGTAAGTGCTTTGTCCAGAACCTGCTCGGTGTCATCCACGATCCGGCGTGTTGGCCGTTCGTATAGATCAGAACCAGCACGCGCCGCCTGCCGCAGCAAAGCAGCGAGCTTCTCTGTTTTGGATTTGAGCTCAGCACACTCCTGCTTAAACGAACTCGCTTCATCCGCCGCTTTGGTCACCTGGTCCGCCAACTGAATCGGCTTCGCCAAGATAAGCTTCACTGTATCCGCCATAACACCCCCAGCAGACAACACCCAACAAAACCCAACAAGAAACAACAATGGCGGCTCGGATTCAGATCAATAAATTGAAGAAAGAGAAGGAAAATGAAATGGGTTTGTATTCAAATTTGCGTCTTGATGGGAGTAAATGTGAAATGCTAGCTGCTAAGACAGTGCTTCCATGGTGGTCGGAGTTTTAACAATGTCAAACGTGGTTTTCTTTCTCCCCTAAGCACCTATGCGGCTATGCCTCCGCCGGTTGATTGCCTTTATTTTTTTTCTGGTTAACTAAAATAGGTGTTTATAACTTTATATGGATTTTCTGACCTGAACTGAATATGGTAATGAATGCAGTGTCTCGATCTTTCTTTCTTTCTTTTTTTTTTTTTTTTTGGCAAGATTTCAAATGGCAGGACTTATTATTATTATTTTTTATGAGCAATATGTCCCAATAGAGATTTTATTTTAGTTTGAGTTCGTTGTTTATTCAGATTGTTCTAGACTTAGAGTACTGATTTGGTCT